TGCTGCGGCAACTCCAGCAGCGCAGCTTCACTTCCCGCAGCCGACACACCCCTTTCCCCCAAAATTTCCTTCCCCTTTAACGGGCATCTTGAAGTCCTCCTTCGTTTTTGGTGAAACAGGAGTGTTCTTCTCTCCCCACACCTTACAGAGCCTGCTAGTTTGGCTTCCAGACCCACCAGGCACCTTTTCCTTCCCATCTGTCCCTGTGCAAGGACGCACCATTTTCTCCCTCACGCTGCAAGGACTCGGGGACAATGGTCCGACCGCACGCTCAGGATCGTGCCCCTCCATCCCCACAGACGGTGACCCGCTCCCAGGAGCGGTTTTACTCCCCATCCCATCACTCACGTTCTGCCTGAAGTAGCGCAGCCTCTCCTGGTACTTTCTCCGAGCCTGCCACATCCTCACGCCCGCCTGGATCTGGGAGAGATGTTCAAGCAGTCGGACACTGGAAGGACTCGCTTGGCCAAAGCAAGCGGGTGGAAAGGGGGAAAACCGAGGGGATTTTTGCAAGACATTCCCCCCCAGCCCAAGCTCCCCCCGTGCCCCAACACGCTGCCCAGCCGTGCCCTGGTCCAGCTGCCGGATCCCCCCCCAGCTGCCTCTTTACTGGGCAGGGGGGAAAATACCACGTCGTGGCCGAGCAATGCCCAATGTTGGAGCAGAGGGTGAAGGAAGAGTCTTCCAAACCTTTATCGCCGCGTCTGCGTTGGCTTGCAGGTAGCGCAGCCTCTCCAGGTAAGCTCTGCGCTGCTTGTACCCTCTCCAACAAGCCTGGCGGGGGGGAGAAAAGACAACCAGCTACCGCGACCTGCGACGGACGGTTGGTTTTTCAGAGAGCACGCAAGAAGAGAAGATAAGGCGGCGTGGGAAAACAGAGGAAACCAGCACCCAAAGCGGCTGCTGTGAGAAAAACAAGCCCCGCACCATCCTCCGCAGCGCCTTGGGTGAGTCCCGGCTGTTAAACGTACGGAGCAGCAAGCACCGGTGCTCCCCGGACCCGCTGGAGGATGCTGCAAGCGGCCGCCCGTGGTTTGCATCCCCCCCGCACAGAGGAGGGACGGATTCTGGCTACGTCACCTGGATCCTGATGGCAGCCGGCCGCTGCTCCCGCAGGA